GAGCGGGCGTCCCAGAATCCTTCACTTCCTGAGCCGGCCCACCGTTTCTCGGATCATCCAATGGGAAGCGGTGCTTCGGGGAGACGGCCTGTTCGTGGACATTCCCTGCGACGCCTTCCCTGAGGGCAGCAAAGAGAGGTGACCCTAGCAACCGCACACAGCCATCCAACCATAGCAACGGCTCAGTGATGCGGCCGAGGGAACGGAGGAGTCAAGGATGACAATTAGATTACAATAATAAATCGAATTTAATTTAATTTAAATCTACTTTTCAATGCTATTATTATATTTTAAATATATTGAATACAAAAATTTTAAAATTGTAAAAAAAAAAAGATTAAAATAAAATGAAAGAAAATATGATTGAATTTAGATTAATCAATATAAATTGTATAAATTGTTTTTATAAAATTAGGGCTGTCAGTTTAACGCGTTATTAACGGCGTTAACGCAAACCCATTTTAACAGCGTTAATTTTTTATCGCTTGACGGCACTAATTTAAATACATTGGAAATTTTTTTTTTTTTAATTAAAATGTGTAAACAACTTTTAAAATAGTAAAAAAAGGAAATGAGTAAATAATAATTAGGGTAGAAATAAAAGTAATTCGATTAAAATAATAATGAAATGGATAAAAAATATAAAAATAATTGATGAAATTGTTTAAATGTAATAATAAAAATGGATTTAAATAACAATTTGGTTAAAATAAATTATGAAAAAATAGATTAGAATAAATATAAAAAGTAGATCTAAATACATATACAAATATTCAGTAAAATATAGATTTTGTTTAAATAAAATTGTGTAAAACTTGTTATAAAATATTAATAATAATAATAAAAATAATAATAATAATTAAATAAATGAAAATAATGACTTGAGTAATAATGTATAAATAAAAAATGTAAACTATAAATAAATACAAATTAGATTCAAATATAAATAATAAAATAGTTTATAAAAAATAATAAAAATTGATTTAAATAACAGAAACTGGATTAAAAATAAAATTATACCAATTAGATGAATGAATAAACAGAGAGATACTATACTATTGAGTGGGAAAAACTTAATTATGAAACTCATAATAACTAAATATTTTCCAAACAAAATTTTCCACATTATTTTTTCCCCACTGAATGTCATATGTATAAGTCGAATGTAGTTTGATGTATGCGTGTGTTTTTCAGTTTCATCTCTTTGCTGGAGTTTGCTGAGGAGCATCTGAAGGTTCTCAGTGTGTTCGTCTGCTTTTATAAGAACCGGGACGACCGTGGTACGTACGTGTGTGTGTGTGTGTGTGTGTGTGTGTGTGTGTGCGCGACGAAGCTCGACTAAACTTGGATAGCTCTAGGGATTAATGGCTCGTTTCCACTGAGTGGAACGGTACGGTACAGTTCGGTTCGGTACGCAATTATTTGCGTTTCCACTGTCAAAAGTTGTGAATGGTACCAAAAAGCCGAACCGTACCGTACCACTTTTTGGGTACCCTTCCGTTGGGGTACCTAGATTGTATCAAAGCAGCTTCACACTGATAACATGAAAGTAGCACAACACAGATCAACAACATTGCTAAACACTAAATAATCCCAACTGAGCAAGCCCAAAGCAAGCCAAAAGCAAGGCGACAGTGACAAGGAACCAAACTCCATCAGATTGGATGGAGAAAAAAACCTTGGGAGAACCCAGGCTCAGTCGGGGGCCAGTTCTCCTCTGGCTTACATTCATATTGTTTAAATATAAATATTAAATATAAATATTGTTTATGAGTAAAACTGCGCCATAACATATCGCAGGCGTATCTTCTTATTAAACTGTCTGTTCATTTACAAAGTTACCAATGATTTGGTTTGCATGTAGGGACCCTCATTATGTTACTGTGTTAGTGTGGGGCTATTTTGAGCCTTGTTATTGGTATTAACTAGCGATTTTTATTTTTTTATTACTCTTTGCCCTATATACTAGCGTTATACGCTAAACAGTTTTTAGAGATAAAACTCTTTGCATTCGATTATCATGAAAACAAATCTCAGAGAACGGTTGACTAGGTACCAATGTGTTATTAGACCAAAGGTTCATTTTGCGCCGGAGTTCTCCTTTAAGACTAGACCAGCCAGTAAAATGGCGACATGTCTCATTTGCCATACTGCAATTTTGAGGGGTGGCTCAAGATTAGCAGCTTCAACATTTAATAAAGCATTTGAAGATGCGTCACCCCGCAGAACACGATAGCAGACGGAGAATGAGCCGCGCCAGAATCAACAATCTCAGGAAGCTTCATTCAAATGAAGAGAAAAATTTTTAAAAGACAGTCAACCAGCAGTAAATATAACCGACAAAATTATCGAGTTTATTGTTCTGGAAGACACTGAAATGCCGTGTATTGTTTCTGGACTTTAAATTATAAAGAGGTTATTTTAATATATTATTCATTTATATTTTTTTAGATTCCTAGATTTATTTGTTGCACTTTTTTATACAGTTATGTTGTAAATCTAAAATACCTTTTTCAGTTTAAAGTATTAGATGTGTGGCTGCATTTTAAGGTCTTTCACTTAAAAAAAAAAAATTATATTTTGCTGTGAAGTGTATGTCAGATAATAAACATATTCTAGTTCACGGTATGTATTTGTTCATGTTTTATTAAGGGATAAGTCTGAAGCACACCATAAAATAAATTTATCAATTCATACAGGGCTAGAATGAATTGTATAGATACACACCCAGGTATCGGATCAGTTCTCTGTAACGGCCGATACTCTGAGTCCAGGTATCGGGAAGAGAAAAAGTGTATCGGAACATCTCTAGTTCTGACCTGTGTGTGTGTTCTGATGTTCTGACGTGTGTGTGTTCTGATGTTCTGACCTGTGTGTGTGTCCGCAGTGAAACTGATGCGTACGTTCAGCTTCCTGGGCTTTGAGATGGTAAAGCCGGGCCAGGCCTCAGTCCCCGCTCGACCCGACGTGCTCTTCATGGCCTACAGCTTCGATAGGGACTCCTCGGATGAAGACTAGCTTCTGCTGTTCATCACACACTCCCTCTGCAGCCTGTGAACACACACACACACACACACACACACACACTGAACCTCCCTGCGTTCACAGGCTTCAGAGGGTACGAGTGGCCGCTCGTGATGATGTTGTGTTTGCCCTCCTCAGTTTAACTTGTGCTTATGTTTATACATTTTCTGGAATGTACACAGACACATAGACACAAAAAAAGTTCATTTATTGGTTTTTGGGTACGTTTTGATTATGATTGGATATTAATCACTTTTTTTAGTATGCTTATGAAGTCTTGCTCTTCTGTGTGACGTTTATGGTTAGTTTTATTGTTTTGTTTTTTACCTCAGAATTTCGTTTGTAGTTTTTTGACTGTCTGAGTCGGTGAACGTCGATCTCTTTGAATGTGGTGTGTGTGTGTGTGTGTGTTAACACAACGACACGACAGGTACAAACCCCTGACGGAGACCCGAATCGAACATCCAAAGCTCTGTTACCTCTCGCCGGCGTTTCTCTATCTGTATATCAGACGTGCCCCTGCTTGTGTTGGCTGTGCTGTTACTCGCACCCCCTCTTCATGGGTTATTTCCACATGTTTGAAACCTTCACCTCTGTAGTGATGCATATACTGCTTCTGTGATAATAAAAACCTTATTTAAAGACAGACCAGTGTTGTGTGCTTTATCATTTATTGACACACATCACAGTCTTGGTCTGAGTTTGGTCCAAACTTACTCTACCTTGACGTTGCACAGTGTTTATGATTGCATGCCATGTATACTGTCATGTGATTTCCATACAGTTCTACTCATGATCCTCTGGTGTGTATCGTCAGTGAAGGGACGTCTCCAGCAGGGGGCAGTGAACGCCTTAAGATTGAGGAAATTATCCTGTTATTAGGATACAGACCAAAACATCTGATTCTGCAGGTTTATGAGGTCAATGCAGTGTGTTTATGTGTGAGACTTGAAGGTTTTGTCACTGGTCACCACTTATTTTAATCACTTAATTTTTGCAGTTTCTCTTAAATCACCCTGTGACTCTATTAACAGAAGGACACGTGTCAAATCTGTCTATTAATATGAGCTCATGAAAATGGCATTAATGCGGATCATACAACAATTGAAAAATAATTTTAGATGAAAACACTCACCTTCAGACTCTCTCTCACACACGCACAAACACGCTCATTCACTCACCTTCGGACTCACAAAAACACCTTCAGTCTCTCTCACACACACTCACCTTCAGAATCTCACTCACACACACACTCACTCACCTTCAGACTCACAAAAACACCTTCAGACTCTCTCACACACACTCACCTTCAGACTCTCTCTCACACACACACTCACTCACCTTCAGACTCACAAAAACACCTTCAGACTCTCTCACACACACTCACCTTCAGACTCTCTCTCACACACACACTCACTCACCTTCAGACTCAAAAACACCTTCAGACTCTCTCACACACTCACCTTCAGACCCTCTCTCACACACTCACTTTCAGACTCTCTCTCTCTCTCACACACACACACACACACTCTCACTTTCAGACTCTCTCACACACCCTCACCCCCAGACTCTCTCTCACACACATACTTGCACTCCTAGTCACACACTCACTCACACAAACTGACTCAGTCTCACTCTCTCTCACCCACACACACACTCATTTACACATACACTCACTTTCACAGACAAACTGACTCCGTCTCACTCACACACACAATTTTCAAATCCCTGTTCACTGTAATTACAGTGATAAATGTAAAAATGGAGTGTAGTCACGATTTTAATGATGTATGCCATACAAATATGATGTACAGATTCTGTCTGCAATGAAGAAACTGCACACTTTTCATAACAAAAAAAAAACGGTCTGTATAAAGGAAGCGTCTCTGTCTCTTTAACACCACTGTTTTTTTTTCTCCATTTTATTTACATTTCGCGAGACTTCCCATCCTCTCGCGAGACTTGGCGTGGCCCTCGTTCGCGAGACGCGCGTTTCCCCCGCAGAGAGAGAGGAGCGCGCATGGATCCCTGAGAGCGCGCTCGCTCGCGCGCACACACGCCCCCGACGCCCCCCCCCAAAACACACGCACTTTTCGACGCTCGCTCGGTGTGTTTTCGACGCTCGTCGATCGATCGCGATGTGGATTCAGATCCGGACGATCGACGGGAAAGAAACGCGCACGGTGGAGGATCTTTCGCGCCTCACGAAGATCGAGTCCCTGCGCGCGAAGATCCGCGACATCTTCGACGTGAAGCCCGAGCAACAGAGACTCTTCTACCGGGGAAAACAGGTACGATCCGGTTCGTGTTCACACGGGGATTCGGTGCTTGCGCAACAGTCCCGAACGGACTCAAAACTGATCCGGATTCAGCCAGAAAACTTCCTGCCTCAGAGCTTGCGCGCGATCCACTGGAGCACATCAATAACGTGCGCGCGTGCGAGTGTGTGTGAGTCTGTGTGTTGATCCAGTGCAGACTGACAGCTGGATGTCATGACACACTCTTGACCAGCAGCAAACACACGCTTACAGTGTTTCTGCTCAGATATGTGTCTTATTACATCGTCCAGGGTTAAACGATTTTAAGGCCTCATCCTGACAGTTAAAGGTACTTTAGTTACTATTATAGAGAACCAATTTGTACCGATAACAATCAACAGTTCAGTTTAACTCCTCACTTTTTCAATCCACTTGACATGTTTATTATTCTGTTTATTTATTTGTTTTGTTTTTTACGGTTTAGTGTAATCGAGTCTGTTTAATCGAATTGTTATTATTAGTGTAATGATTAACTAATATATCAATTATTACATTATCTGTTCATTTATAATTTATATAGTCTAATTGTTATAATTTATTGTTTTGTTAATTTAATGTTATTCTTATTTTATTAATTTGTTTTAAATCAATTTTTTATTTAATTTTATCAAATCAAATTGTCATAATTAATTATTCTTTTTATTTATTTACTTTAATTTTATTAAATATATTTAATGTCATTAATAATTGTAATATAATAGTTATTATTTATTCTATTTATTAATTTATTTTTCTTTAATTAAATTATTTATTATTTATTTAATCTAATTGTTATAATTTATTATTATTAATTGGCCTGTAATTGTTAATTATTTATTATATTTATTAATGTATTTTAAATTATTTTAATTTATTTTAATCTTATTAAATCTATATAAATGTAATTATTAATTATCATCTAATTGTTAATTCTGTTTATTAACATATTTTAAATCTATTTGTATACATCTTATTAAATCTATTTATTGTAATTATTAATTTTCATCATTAATTATTATTATTTTTAAATTATCTAGTATGAATAAAAAAGTTAATTGTTTTAGAAAAGCATGGCCCTAAAATAATTAAAAATGTTCTTAAAGTATATTATTCAATGTGCAGAAGGATCAGATTGAACAGTAAACAACAGTGGATCAAACACTTATTAATATTGCTAAAGTGACAGATGAATATGTCCTGATGTCTGATTGGATGAGCTGTCGATGATGTCATCAACAAACAGTTTGGTGTCATAAAACTATAGTTAATGTTCTTGGAGTGAACGAACCTTTAGCCTAAGTTATTGACACACACACACACACACACACACACACATTGAGAGTGTGGAACTAGTACGTGATATATTGTGTTTGGCACTGATTAGTAGTGTGTGTGTGTTGCTGTCGACTTGTTGCTCTGAGGAAATGAGGAACATTCTGGAAGTACGGGATGTTCTGTTCGGTTCTACACACACACTGAGTTCTGCAGGGGAGAAATATCTCATTACCATTGAGTGTGTGTGTGTGTGTGTGTGTGTGTGCCACACTCACACACTCTCTTTCTCACACACTACACACTCTCTTTCTCACATACTACACACACTCTCTCTACCACACACACACTCTCACACACTCACTCTCTTTCTCTCTCACACTCACACACATATAACTTACTCTCTCACACACACACATACTCTCACACACAGAACATATGATTTAGTTTAACAGCTGTTTGATCTGATTCAGTTCGGCTGATATGGATTATTGGGAATCTTGTCAGCTACGGCATTACTGTAATATTACACAATTAACAATTTATTTCATTCAGTCACTCAAATTACACATAAGGCAGTTTTATAATAAAACACTTTTTAATGACATTTGTTTCTACTGCAATTCATTTTTCGAAATCCAAGCACGTAAAGTGGGGTAAACTCATATTATTGCTGTAGCTAGTGAAGAGGAAGAGAGGATCGGTTCATCTGCCGTGAAATAACAATCTAGCCTTGTTTAATATTTAATCATGTGTTATATGCAAAAATAGACAATAAACAGCAGTAGATTCCTCTTTGTTTTCTACAATATCACAGACACTTTCGTGAACGTTTCGTGAACAAACAAATCAGAAGTTTGTTTGGAATCGATTCATTGAAATTGAACTGATTTATGAAACTGAATCAACGATCACACACTCTCTCACTCAAACTCACACACTCACTCTCTCTCTCTCACACACACACTTACACATTCACACTCTCACTCACACACACTGAATCAACTCTCACTGAGTCAACTATAGAGTTCAGATGCAAAAGCCTCTAAGTGCCATTTGAAATTTTCTTCTAGAATGATCATTTTTATCAAGCTTGTATATTTAACTTCAGTGATTTCACTTAAATGGCAATGATAATTACCTATTAATTGTTATTTAAGTGAAATTACTGAACTTAAATATACAAGTTTGATAAAAATCATCATTAAAGAAGAAAATTTCAAATGGCATTTAGAGGCTTTTGCATCTGAACTCTTCATATATATATATATATATATATATATATATTAGGGCTGTCAAACGATTAATCGCTATTAATCACATCAAAATAAAAATTTGTGTTTACATAATATATGTGGGTGCACTGTGTATAATTATTTTGTGTGTATATATATATATATATATATACACATGCATGTATATTTAAGAAAAAAATATTATTTATAAATAAAATATTTATATATAATACAAATTATATATAAATCTATATACAGTATATAAATGAAAATATTTCTTAAATATATACAAACGTGTGTGTATTTATGTATATAAAATAATTATACACAGTGCACCCACATATATTATGTAAACACAAACTTTTATTTTGGATGCCATTAATATAAGAAGAGTTTATATTTTAAACATATGATTAAGTTTTACTGAACACCACCACGTGTGAAAATGTGACATTGAACTGTTTATTGAAATCAAATTAAGTCACTTACATTTTAGACACAATATTGACTGTTTTTGTTTTGTTTGCGTTTAGGGTTGGGTATCGAGAATTGAGTATCGATTGGAACCGAGACTAACTTTTAGTTTTTCCCGGAATCGTTCAAAAGTTAAAATTTCGATTCCTAGTTTCGATATTCACAGTCCGCCGAGCGGAAGAAGAAACCGCTGAACAACACCAACGAAGAAGCGTCTACCGGAAGTGTTGGCATAACCACGCGAGTCGAACATGAGTACCTTACGTCGGCGATCCAAAGTGTGGCTTCACTTTTCTAAAAATAACGAAATCTCGGCAAAATGCAAAATTTGTGACAAAAGGAGTATTTTACAGAAGGAGTATTTCCTTCAGAAAGGAGTATTTCCTTCAGAAAGGAGTATTTCCTTCAGAAAGACCGTTGGTTAGCAAGGTTAGCTAAACTTTTTTGACCCTGGCTCTTAAAAGAATCGGAATCGAGAATCGTTAGGAACCGGAATCGAAACAAGGAATCGGAATCGGAATCGTTCAGATTCAAACGATACCCAACCCTATTTGCGTTACGCAAAAAAGTTCCAAACTAATTTCATTCAGTGTTTTGAACGAATCGGCTGAGCCACAGATTCAATGACTCATTCATAAACTGCCCCATTCCTGAACGAATCAGTCATTTGAGCGAATCGTTTGAATGAATGACTCAATGACTCGACCGTTGAGACGGTCTCCTGCCGCCCCTACTTTCTTAATTGTATATTAAAAATAAAACAATATCATAATGCATAATTTATGATCATGATCAGTGATCACAATGCACAATCATAATTTTATGCAGTTGTAATTTTTCTGTGTAAATGATTTGATTTGATCAGCCATATATATTTAGGAGTTTAAAATGAAAGATGAAGCGTATATTTAATAAGATTAGGGAAAGGTGCAGATATGACAATATGCAGATTAAATAAATAAAGCTGATTGAACGCTGATGAGAATATTGCTTAATTATTTCTTTTGTATGTATTTTTTGTTATTATTATTAAACATTTAGTTAGTTTGATATTGTAGTTTTGTGTTCGTTTTATCTTCACTTCTAGTTAGTCTAATTGACGGGATCGTTAGAAAACTTAATGAGCACGACTAATTATTTAGTTTGTTTTGGAGTCATTTTTAAAGCTTTGTAGTTTGTTAATGTTGTAGCTTTTATAGTTTGTTAATGTTTTGATCTTCATTTTATTGTATATATCGAGCAGTGACGAGTCCAGTGTGACACTAATATGTTACGAAGCATTGAAGATAGTTGTGAATGTTTCATGCGTCGGTCCTGAATTGAAGTGTGTGTGTGTGAAAGAGTAAGGGAGAGAGTGTGTGTGTGTGTGTGTTTATGTGTGTGTGTGTGTTCCTCACGGCGGCCATCTTGTGCCGCTCGATGTGAAACGTGTGTTTGAATGCGGAAAACTGCATTCATGAGTTACTGATCATCAAAGAAACACGTGATCTTCGTGAGTTCTGTCACTGAGGCATTCTGGGAGATTTGTTGTGTTGTTGTCCGAGTGAGTTTGTTCAGATAATCTGGAGGATCAGAGACGTGTTGTGTGTTTGTGATTGAGTCGTTCTGAACAAGTGTCTGTGTTTGGGTTTTCTATTTGAACACACACGTACACTTTCTCTCTCTCTCTCTCTCTCTCTCTCTCTCTCTCTCTCTCTCTCTCACACACACACACACACACACACACATATATACACACACATATACACCATGTTTCTTGCAGTGGCATTTGCTCCAGTAAACACTGATGAATGAAGATTAGAATAAAACAACCCATATTGAACTGTATATATTCTTGCATCCGTGTGTGTGTGTGTGTGTGTGTATGTGGATTAAACGAGTTAAACGGACCTCGTTATGCTGATATTTTCCCACCGAAAGACTCTGAAATGAAACACCTGCTGGATTCATGAGCGCTCTCTTGTTTTCCTGCAACACTTCTGCGGTTATTCATGTTAATCTCAGCATTCACTA